CACGAAACGCAGACGAACTATCCAGTCTACTCAAAAAAGCTACTAAACGGTTGGCCCGACAATAAAGACAAGCTGCGCAAGCATTTGTCACCCTTGTGCAACTTTTGGGACGAAGTCGTCATCCAGGACGGAGTTAACATTAAAGGTAACCGGATACTGGTCTCGAAGGCAATGCAACGCCCCATGCTGGATCTCATACACTGCGTTCACTTAGGAGTCAACAACTGTGTGGCGAGAGCTCAAGAATTAATGTTTTGACCTGGGATGACCAGCCAGTTACGGGATCATGTCTCCAACTACTCCGCATACAGAACACATGAGGTCCGCCAGCGGAAGCAGCTAATGCTGCTTCATGAAGTCCCGGATAGACCGTCGCAGAAAGTCGCTTTGGACATCTTTACTCATAAAGGGAAGAATTACTTGATCATAGTCGATTATTTCCGCGACTTTCTAGATAGATGCCCTCACGTCTACCAGCGCGCAGGGCGTGATCAACTAGCTACGACCCAAGTTCGATCGATCTGGAATACCGAATGAAATGGTTTCCGACGAGTGCCTCCAGTTCAGTAGCGCAGGATTTCGAAGTTTCAGCAAAAGGTGTGATTTTTTCACCGACTAACCCATCCCTATCATAGCCAATCGGACGGAAAGGTTGTCAGCCGTCAAAGAAGCAAGGAAGGTTCTCACCAAGGCCATGGATGTCCACATAGATTCCTACCTCGTGCTGCTGGAAAAACGGAACACGCCTTCTGCTGAAATGGTAACAAGTGCAGCCGTAAGGCAAAAACGCTGTTACCCGTAGCTAAAGCTCTACTACAGCCATAAATAGCATCGAACAGTCTGCTGCAATATCGTCTGCATATGAGAATCTTGCGACGAAAAACATTTTTATCGAGGACCAAAACAGCTCCCACTCCTGGTATCTAGGGACGAAGTAAGGGTCGAATGGATTCCGGGAACTGACGGGCGTTGGAGGAGAGGACGAATCGAAGGGCGGAAAGGAGAGGAAAGCTACGAAGGATCGGGACTAATGTCATTCTGAGCAACTGAGAAGGCAACGGGGTGAACACATGTAACATCGTGCGGTGCAGTCACCTCAGCAGAACGTTCCGGCGGACACCTCAGTGGAAGACAGTATGAAGCGAACAAAATTGAACTGTTGAAAAACAAAAAACAAGGATGTGACAGAAGTTGACGCTTGGCTGCCAATCAACAGCACAGGCAGGATTTTTTGTGAGGGAGGCCGACACGTTAGGCAGCCAATCAGAGACGCAGTCTGTGACAGAGGCGGATACGCTTAGCTACCACCCACCAGCACAAGCCGTCTGCGAGACGAACAAGCAAATAGGGGATGCTGCACTTCCTGTGGCGGTTAATACACTAGACAACCAATCAGGGGCAAAGACCGTCCACGGACAGAGGACCGTTGTATGGGAAAGTGAAGGCAGATATCAGACACCAATTTAATCAGCATCGCCGGGAGTCAGAATGAGAGCGCCAGTATCAAAGCCACAGGCCTTACATTGCGTGCCAAGGCGCATAAGACAACTGATCTAGGGTCACTGAGAGACGGCCCGCAGAGCCGATCAACATCACCGTCGCCAACGAGTTGCGGTTAGATGAACGACCCAGAATCGCAACACGAACCAATGAATGCAAACGCATAGCTAGCGCGGAAGGCAGTGAAGATGCGACGCCAAAATAGCAATATGCAGTATAAAATAAAGCATGGCTCAGCAATAACGACTTTCGTGTCGCTCCGCAGTCTTCCCTCTGTTTATCAGAGGACCGCTCGTTTTACAGTCTGGGGCAGGAGTAAGGCACATGTAGCTCCGCATCTCCCTTCCATAGTTCGCTATATTAACCGGTCCTTCAGTGACAGTTTTTTGCTAAGGCAACTCAAAAAACACGACAGCACCTTTAATCTGCAGAAGGCTTCGGGATATATTTTCGTCTACTTTTACTTGTAACGACATTTTGCACGGTTGGTGTTCTTCATTTGTCTGAGGAAAACATTGTTGAATTCACCGCTACAAGCACAAACATGAGAAAATTGGCGGAATCGCGTAGTCAGTCATTCCTGCGGAGTCAGGTTCGTCAGGTTATCTGTTCACCTTGATTAGAAGCCCCCACCACGCTGTTCATGTCGTGCTTTTCTCGTGTGAGGAACGCTTTAGTGTCCACCTTTTTACCTCTTTAACCCTGCTGCAATCATTTTCGCTCCAGACGGTAGATGTATTTCATGTGTATTTTATCTCCATGTTGTACTAAATGAACACTACCGGGTTTAGGAAATATCAGCTTAATTCCAACTTTGCGATATTTTTTTGCACACCGAATGTCACAGTTTACTGGAAATGTCATCACTTTGCTAAGCGTGCGTAGGTGGCCAATTTTTCACTCGTCTGTTGAAAGCGTTCTTCCAAAAATAATGCAAATCTGCCTTGTTTTGTAAATCGTTGTTATGATTTCGGATTTACTTGAATCGCACCAGGTCCACTCCTAATGATGGAAATGTTGCATGTCGTTTTACCTTTTGACTATGAATTCCTACTTGACCGCATCCTTGTCTTGTGCAAACCAAACAAATCAAAGTGATTGTCACGCGTGAAAGCCTTCTCGGCTTGAAGCGATGGTTGTTCAACAGCGCACTGTCTTTTGCTCACCGTCTTTACATGAAACGAATGCACGCCGCATCGTGGCTAATAGATGTTTATTGAGAGGAATAATGGCTATGACACAACCCTGCTTCACATCATCCACAGCATCATATGCTATGTCTGCGCTGCGTTGCTACACTTTACTCTGCTCACCATATATATATATATATATATATCCCTACTATACCAATATCCAGTTACGCTAATACCCTCAAAAACTAGTCACATCGATTCACGGTTACCGGTAGTAAATGTCTCTTCGATGTCAACGAACATCGAGAGCAACCTGTATTTTCGTTCGCTGCATTTCAACGGTTCACGGGCAGTATGTCGATATTGCTGCGACGTGGGTGAGATCTACATTCGTAATTTTTGTCATATGTGTATTTCTCAACTTCTTGTAACGTTTTGCTCGCAGCGGGATGGATCATGTCTTACAGACATTCTTACTTAAATGAAAGATTTGCGTACGCGGTACCAAATCAAAATAGTGCAATGCATTGGCTGCCAGGAGTTTCCGGTACTCTATTGATGCCCAACTGGATCATTTTTGAAGTAAGCGCAGTTCATCTCCAAGTGCCTGGGGCCTGAATTCAGGAACCTCACCGTTTCAGGCTCAGACTGTCCATTAGAAGACATCATTAAACGGGGTTAAAAGGTAAAGTTAGGAGTGCAGCATTATTGGGATACAATAACCGTTTAGTCTATAGTGAATCCGGCCTACTAAACTTTACATGTTACACAGGTAGTTCTACCGAGAACAACGCCATGGTGAGGAACAATCTAAATCTCATTAATATAACCTGGGAACGCTAAAAATGCAAAATGCCTATCAGAGGGATGAAAAACGATTTCATACTTAGAGTTTATTTTGATCATGTTATTCATTTGAGTATAATACGAATGACAATAGCGCTTGGGTGTATAATATCTTCCAGGGAAGGAGGCAGTATGCGATACGAATTAGTGTCGTTTTGAAAAGCTTGGAATTAGAAGCTGGACCATGATGTTCAAAATTGTTGGTTTTCTTACGCCTCAATTGCACATCATTCACTGGGTTTGGTAAAAGACGAGATTCATGCGTGGTAATAAGAAAAGAAATGTTTACGTGTAGTACTCATTTTTTCAGCCTGTCAAATGGCTTATATTTTCTCGTGTGCACTGCAGGTTTTCGCTTTTAGTAGGCGTAGCAAAAATAGGACCACGACTCATCAGAAATGTTACTGCATATGTCTCCACTCGCATACCATCAGCCATAGGGTTGGCGAAAATCGAGAAGATAAGCGGTGATATAGTGGAGAGGTGTTCATGCTTGCTTTACCACATGTAGGTTATTTTCACCTTGGGTAACCTGGACAACCCTTCCGTTGCGTACATGATTAGCTATTATTAATATTAACATTATTATTACCATTATCAATACATCTTAGCTGAAAGTGAGAAACACCCCAGGTAATGTGCCAGCTAACATGCCAAACTTGCAGACTACAACAATATTCAAAAAGCAAATTATATAATGTTTAATATTATATTATGCATTTGATATGAAATCGTAATTGGAGGGGGAACCTAAAGGAGAGGGGATGGACAAAGAAGCTTACAACACAGGCGCAATTGAGGCCGCCTCTTCGCCATATTAGTAAATGTATCCAACCAAACGTATTCATCGCCCTTGGGACCCCAGCCTGACAGTCGGGATGCACCAAACATCATTAGCTATCCAGCCGAGTAAAAGTAATCGCAAAGACCAAGCAATGCAGTCAATAGTGAAGTGAAGTTGAACTACATGATGTGATGCTAATCATCGCTTGGCCACGCCAGCGTTTGTGAGAGCGTAACATCCATGTTAATCGGGAATCTTGCGTTACTATGGAACATTTAACCGTTGCTGATACGCGTTGAGCTTATTGATTGCAGGTTCGTTCAGGAAAGACGAACCGGAATCACCTAGAGTTTAATTGTTAGCCCTAAATCGGTGTTCGAGTTCATACGGACCTACTTATCTGTAAATGAAACTAGCACGATTCTGCTCAGCATACTTTGTTCTGGTAACTCGATATGTGACGGTGAGGTGAAGGAAAGATGACACACTCCGTATGGTCCGTAGGCCTTTGCAGCGCCCAGAGAAGTTGCATTTTGATAAGTTATTGTCTCTTACATCATCGCCACTGATCCTGTAAAGCGATCTGACTGCGTCCACGTTTACGTTGTTTGTCTGTTTCGCATTTCTGATTTCATCTCCGTATTCTTCGCCCACATTAGTTGGCTGTAAGAAGTCACTCTTGTAGTCGGTATTAGTAAATTTCGCTCAGTTCTATCTACACAATTCCACTGTCCTCATCAGGAAGGCCATCACAATCCCAAGCGCACTTCTTACGGTCATAGCCTAGTTGTCGATCCCTGGGGGCAAATACTGGCAGAGAAACAGGATGCAGGACCTGGTTTATTACTGTGTGACATTGGGTTGACACCGTCGCCTGAATGTGACGCCGAATCACCACTTTACATGGCGCGAAAGTCTGTTCCTGTCGAATTCCATCGGCGTTCCGACTTATTCGCACTCCCAGAATTCGGTTTGGCCAAAAGTGAGTTGGAAGTTTTTGATTGTGGTCGTGTTTTTCAGATGACGCGTGATGTTGTCACATAACGTAGCACATTCTTCCGGTTTTATCAAGTAGGATACATTGGTAGGTTCTTGACTTTTTAAATTTTATTTGATGCATCTTTCGCATAACATGCCATTTGTTCGACCCGCATGTGGAACACCGAATCTCACATTTCAGGTCAATGCAGCAGCTGCCACACTCATCGCTTTCTACACGCAACTTTGTATGAGTTCAACTTGTTCTCATCCCTATGTGTCTTCTGAACTTCATGATGTTAGTTGCTAAAATTATTTCAGGCTTTTTAAAGCTGCTTTTCACGAGCGCCACTCATTTCAAAATGCTAGTTACAACGTTGCTGTTTGTCGAGGTAGCAACGATCAAGACAATGTTTTACCAAATCATCTTTATTGTCCGTGTCATTTATGCTCCATTAGGAGCAAACTCATCTGATCATGGCGTGATTGTTGCCGATCAGCTCTAAAATACATCTCACAAATCCTCATGAGAAAAATATCCGGCTTTAGCCGTAGCAGAGGATACACTGACCACCTTACTCTTCCTCACTATTATTATAGGCAGCCTACCACAGTGGTCTTTCCTAATTTTAAGATCGGTTTTGATTTTGTTGATCGCGTCAATTGTGGACTTGTTTATCTTTGGATAAAATGTCTTCTACATTCTCATCGTTTCTTTACCACGGCTCCCGGGTCCTAGTAAAGATGTACTGGAAACTCTCCCCTGAGCTCATCGGGGCAAGTGAACTATGGACGACCCCTTCTCCTGTACTCTTCCACTTCCACTGGTGCAGAACTTCTGTTTGGTAACCGATTGTCAAGCTTCGGGTGCGCAGATGACACACCTCTCTTTGAGCCCAATCCACTGGTTTGCAAATCCTAGTGACCATGCGCAATCTTATGTGTTACCTTTGAAGTGCAACATACCGTTGCAGAGCTGGGTTCATTCACTGTCTATTCTCGCTGTCACTGCCCAGTCACTCGAAGTTATTGATCGGTCAACTTAATCAGGTTACTGTATCATTTCTGATGTTGTCCACTAATCAGCTTACTTTATTTCCAGTTGCCTTCACAGCCATATATATATGGCTGTGAAGGCAAATGGGAATATATATATATATATATATATATATATATATATATATATATATATATATATATATATATATATATATTCAACTGTGTGTGACACATCACAAGTAATCCATGTTCCCTTAGTAGGTGCAGGCATGACGGACAAACTGAAACCTTGTGTCGCCAAACATATCCAGCGCTCTACGAAAAGCCGTGGTAGACATCGAAACTCATCATGGTGCGAGGAACGTACAGTTGTCGTAAACAAAAAACTGGTCGTAACACATAATAATCTACAGTTTAAGGGCGTGATACTAGCCGGTCGCCTTAGCCGAACTTAGGATTTGACTTAGAGGACACTGCCGCAAACCTTTGGCTGAATAGCCTTCCTACAATACAGGGGGGCGAATTCAGGAAATCGTAGCCGTTGATAGCCGGGGACCGATTTTTCAGTTCATACACCTTTGGTTTGGTGAGCTGCCAAACGAGGGATCAATCCACCTTGTGCACATCCTCTGGGCTACATTGCTGCACCGAGACAAAGCAAGAGAGTGACTTTACTGTTGAGTCACATCCGCGGTGTCGTGATATTGTTAACCGGACATTTGTCACTTTTTATAGAGAGAAAGCATGCGAGACAAAAACCCACCACGTCCTGAACGAGTGTCGCGAAAACATTTGTTTGAACGGGATAAACCCGAACTTTCCAGCTGGCAGTATGTTAAGTTGGTACGGCAGGCCAGCGAAACCACTCACAGTGCTTAAGGATCACTCTAACTCGGTTTCGACATCCTCCTCTGGCGTTTGGAAGTGGTCGACGGCCGTCATTCTTAACACTTAGCCATGGGAGATAGCGGATTACAAGTTATAAGCTCGATTGTCTAGAGTAGCGGTGCTACACATTGTCACTGGCGGTGGCAGAGCATCTCCACTGGTCGATGGTTTTATACCAACAGCCTCAAGCCCAAGTGCTCCTGGTTAAGAAGTTGTGAACCTACCAACTCAATTTCGGTTCGCCATTGTCGCATGCTGTTGAGTCAACGTCTCCGAGTGGAGATCTTCAAGCGAGCTTTATGTATCCCACTCCTATGTGGACCAGACTTTTAGGTCAAAGGTCGGAGGTAGAGCACCTCTAGCCAAAAATTTGAAGTACCTTTTTGAGTTGGCGTATCCGCCCTGCGTCTGAATTTCTACACGCAGTCTTGATTGGGGCCACGATTCACTTTGAATTAATGCTCTGTCATTTCGACCGCTGTGACCGCATCTGAAGTGGAAATTTCCGGTGGTTCTCTTTCCCAACACTAAACTTCACAACCGCCTTGGTCCTGTCTTAGAAGCCTTGTGTAGAGGTAGCTTGACCTGATAATGAAACCCGACATATTGGTTAGTGGCATACGTTTTGATCACCAAGCCATTGAGCTCTGCAATCGGCGTTACTCGCACTGTTTTACGGATGCGTTTGCAACGCTGCAGCCCAGCCATTATTGCTGTATCGACCTGGTTCTGGCCATGCTATGTGCTGCTCATGTCAGGCGGAAGATGGAAGTGAGTGGAACTGTAGTTCACCTTCGGTGACTCAGCTATTGGCTCTTTATGTCATCTAACCGACTGTTCCGTGATTAATTGTCTTCTGCTGACACATCTGGCTTGGTTATACTCTTAAGTAACCACTGAATGGCATGTCAGAAAAGCATGAGGAAGTTCACCGATATGTTGGGTCGGGATGTTGCCTGAAAATTTCCGCAGTGGGACTCTCCGGTTATACCGCGCTCAGACATCGTATCGGAAACAGTGCTTTCGTTTTGTCATCTCAGACCTTCGATTACCCCATCCTACGCTTTTATCCACGTTCAGTCTTTTGTGTTATTGTTGTTACATTTAGTATCTTGGCGACATGTTCAAGCCAGTTGGATCCATCTCACCTCGGCGCACCGATCATTATTGATAAACATACCTAAGATGAACTCTTCTACAGGTTCTTAATCGTGGTCCGACAAGGTCTCGTCGCCATGACTATTACTCCCTGCCGAACAAATCGCACTACTTTACGTCGCAACACGATGCGTTATTTTGTCCGGTAACCGGATGGTTCCTCATACATCCACAACAGCATTACTGAATTCAGTCATATGGTAGATCCCATGCAGTTTACAACTTCGTACATCGCTGCAACTCTTCGGGACATCCCACGAGATGTTACGACGGCGGTGAATCTTCCCCACCAAACTTAACCCTGAATTGAGAGTGGATCTCAGCACATAGGGATAGGGGGCTATCGCCGTGATCACTAGACCATTAAGTTCCTTGAGCACAGCTTGCTACAGCGGTCAGAAGTTGAGTGTTGGATTTCTGGAGTACCCTCCGTGTGTCTTGGCTTGTGGCACACAATTTCAATTGTGGCCTCGATTGACTTTGAAGTCACCCTCTGCCATTCGGAGTACTGGGACCGTACACAAAGTGGAGGGTTTTAGTGTTGCCCTGTCCCATCACTGCACTCCACGACCGATGGTTTCGTCCTTGTTTGAACGCGTCGCCATCCGAGACACATGACGGGCGCTTCAAAACCCGATAATCTATCAGGTCATCTTATTTTTCTGTGCTCTCTCACGAACTATGAAGAGAACATTCACCGAGTAGCTTGTTATCATCTCTTCCATTCTTTATCCCCTAACGGCATTTTCTTGGCCTAAGAATCCGCTTATGTGGAGCCTAACTAAGCTAAGGTACTCCAACTTGCGGTTCATCAAATGCTGCTTTTTGGTGCTGCTACATGGTCGCATCAATGCCCATGCATTTGGTGTTTACGTTGTCCTTCGTCAGATGGCACCCTACACTACTATTTGCCTGTGCACCTGTAGAATTTTCTCCATCTCTGATGTGCGTGGCACATCGTATACCCCAATTTATTTAGCCTATGACTCGGATAAAGCTGGTGATGGGAATGTAGCTAATAGGTAACGATTGCCGTTGCATTTTCTTAGCCTGACTTCTTTCAGAGCTGTTCTATTTATTCATCTAGCCGTTTTTCTCGTTGCTATCTAATCGAATAAAAAGCTATACTGGGCATAAAGAGCTATTTGTGAACTACCGTTCACAGGTCCTCTTGTCTTCATTCAGAACCTGACTTAATAGTTATTGTTTGCCACTTGAAGGCCCCCGCGAATGTGATCATTATGTTACTGCGGTAGCTCCCTGTCAGCGGGTTTTTTCAACACATTCCATATCAGCGTACCATATGTTCAGTGTGCGCGCCGCAATTTTTGCGACTAATCCATTAATATCATTCGTTTCGTACAGTACTTTTCATGGGTAGTTGTGTGTTTCGCTTCCGTCTGCAGAATGCCAATTGTGCTGTTTTTCTCATGTGATAATGACACCTTCACTCTTGTGTTTTTACTTCCAGACATTGGCTCCAGCGAATTCACATTCGGACCGCACACGATTCCTGCCAGCTGCGTGTTCTACCGGTCCGCATTGAGCTTTGCTTTCGTCAACCTTAGTCCTCTCGTTCCTGGTCGTATCCTTACTGGATTCATAGTGTAATCTCCAATCACGTTTTTTTCAATTTGTGCACTCGATTACCATGATTTTCTTTTTCCCATCACCTACCTCCGCACCATTCCTTGTTTTTCTTTTAGCTGTACATGGTATGTCGCATTGCTTTATATAGAAGTTCTTTTCACCTATCGGCACAGCTGTCTTTCAGCCACCCGGCTTACTCTTGAAACTTTGGTCGAGCTCAGTAAAGCTCGGACTCTAATTTGCTCATATCGATACAGTCTTCACTTCGTCGATTCAAGTCCCATGAAGTAACCTCAGCTCAGTTAAATAACTATTATCAGAGCATCCAAGTGCTGTGGACCCGATTCCCAAAACTCATGTCACCAGGCTAACAGTGATCAGCTCTGGTGCGGAAAATGTCATAGATTACATGAGGGAAATAGAACAAAGTTAAGAAAAATCTGTCAACTCGGTCTGTTATAGATAAAAGCTAGAAACTTAACGCATAGGTGCCACTCACTATTCACATACGACGTCTGAACATTAGTTTGATTCGACAGAGCTGTACTCTTTTTGTGTCGTCTCCAGGTTGCGGATCAGATACCCCCTTCTTTGTGAAGGTAGCTGTGTACAAGTCGAGGTGAAGTAGCACTCTCGCGCAATCAGCAGCGACACCCTAGAACATTAGTGTTATGGCCTCATCACCTGATTCCCTACTACTTACTACAACAGTTCGTACTGTGCTGTGTTAAAGTCCATGTGACAGGCTATGGGATCACTGACCACTCAATTCTGCAGTCAGATCTGAGTAAACAACAGAGGGTGGCTGAACAACCTCGATGACCACCGGCCTCTATGTGCACTTCTAACAATGGGAAGACGTGTGAGCCACCTGACTGTCAGCATGTCTGGCGACGTGTTAGGTAGTCCAGGGAACATTTCCTGGACTCTGTGCTTGACCTGAGTAATTTGATTCTGCTCAAAATGCTTGTTATTTACGCTTTGACAGCTGGTATCCGAAGTTTCGCGATATACATTAATCGCCAAACTGTCTTGCTGGTAATGACTTATAATCGAATGCTCTGGGTGGGGTTCCGTAAGCCAACCTTCTTCCTTTATCTGGCATCCGGGATGCACCATGCCCACACAACCTATTGACCAATATTTCAACGATTTTCTACTCCCCGAGAATGTTACCTTCGGCACATGTGCTTCCGGCCGAACATGTTAAATCGCACCATTATCCGTGAAGCGACGGAACTATGCCAAATCTAATTATGTCGCATGAAATGCATGCACATAATGCTACTTCGAGTTATAAACCTAGACTATACTCGCATTCTGGGCAGAAAGCAGTTGGGACAGAAGAATTTGTAATCTAATCCTGTAACCCTGGTTCCAAATGGTAGAATAATGCACGAGACCAAACTCACGACTAGCTTTGTAACGTGTGGGCAGCAAGCGGAAACAAATAACCGCAACAGTGCTGTTAACAGCAGAGTGATGGAAATGCGACCTTGAGACAAAGTGCATGCAAATGGTGCGAATGGACAGCCACACTCGTTTTAGAATGTTGCGGTCCAAAGCGTGAATGGTGTGTTATTAGTTCGGAAGCTATAGGTGGGACTAGGAGCACTGAGCCATCATGAGGGAATAATCCATCTGGTGCAGGAAATCAGTGTTCTTCCGAACTTTACTATCCGGTTACTTTATTCCATGCTTGTTCAACCTATTACTCTCGTTACCTTTCTTCCATTTCGGAATCCGCAACACAGTGCCGCATTGAGTGATAGTTCTCGTCGCACGGATCCGGAATTAAGGTTTGAGGTTACGCAGCCCAGTTATGCCACTAAATCTTTTCCTTCACTGCGTCCCCAATTCCATAGAGTTCGCTTAATGTACGGATGCTGATGTTAGTCGGATCAGAGACAGCTCATGCTCACACTTCAGAAACAACAATCACTGGTATTTGCTGCTTCACCGAGCCCCATTTACAACACTATCGCGACACCGTGACTGGCTTCATCGTATGCTAGTTCTGCTGGCATTTTTACATTTTATTTATCGGCAAACTCAACAGCTGAAGCTACTGACATGTTGGTTTGGGTAAAGTGTTAAATGTAAATGCCGAGGCTGCGCTACTCGATTGGAACCCTGTTAACAACTGATTTCGCGCTATTTTACGCGAAACCTCGGTACAGTTACCCAGAGGCGGAGTGAGCGGATACTGTTCCCTCCTTGTGACGGCCTATGCTCCAACAGACTGCAGTCCGGAGTCAGTTAAGCGAGTTCTGCTCTCAATGCACCGAAGAAAGTGCCACCGGACCTTGTTGTGCTTAACCAAGACCTAAACGCGAAAGTCGGCTAACTTAAAGCTGACGGATATGAACTCTGTAACGAATATGCTCCTGGCATCCACACTGCAGGCAAATGAGATCGTCTACTTCGGCTTTGCAACTATCTCCCCCTATTTCTGTCAAGTACCACTTTTTAGTGCTCTTTGTTCCAACGCGCCACTTGGAGCCCTCAATCATTTGGCCTGCCGTGGACGCAGATTGCATATCGCCATCAGTTACTGTTGGTGACGCTACATGTAGATTTGCAAATCAGTCTGAGTTTCCTACATCGCTTGATCGTGTTTGCGTCTTGGTCGCACCCAACGACGTCACTGGTAAATGTTTGACGTGGTTAAACCTTCTGCCCCAAGTGTTTTCATTGGCTTTCGGGATTCGTAAGCTTATGACCTTCTAGAGGACCCCATGCTCAGAATTGATATGCACTCGGCACACATTCTCTGTGCCATGCATAACTGCGACTTCGCTCGGTGACCCCACAGTACTGGCAACCTCTGAATATCCGTAGATCTCTCCAGCTTTCGAAGCTGCTATCTCCCAACACTGCACTCCACGACCGACCGGTTTCGTCCTGATTTGGACTCGTCAGGTAGAAATAGATTGAGATGAGAAGGGAGCCTAACACTGTGTTTGACGTCTTTCGTCTTAGTCGCTAGCGCTTGATACAGCGCTGCTGTGGAGATCTGACCTAGTTACCTAGACGAACTACCCCAACCACTGTGTTAGGCTCCCCTCTCAGCTCAAGCTATCTCCATTTGCCGAGTTCAGGACGAAACCGGTCAATCGTGGAGTGCAGTGTTGGGAGACAGCAGCTCCGAAACTCTCGACTTCGGATGCCGTCCCAGTGACGGAAATGGCATAACTTTACTTAAAGCAAACTGTAGTCTCAATCGAGATTGCGTGTTGCAACCCAGAAACACGGCGGGTACTACAAGACCCAGTAATGTATATATTCAGCTTCTTGAAGGCAGTCGAGCAGTTTCCTCCGATGTTGCGTATCCTTTTCTGCGCAGGATTACCAACGCTGAACTTAACCGGATCCTCCGAGAGGATCGAGGGGCCTGGTAGGGGCTATGTGTAATCGGGATGGGCGATTTCCGCATGTTTTCCTCTTGGTTTGATTCACTGGCAAGTAAAAGTGCTAGACCAGTGGTCAGTCACTCCACTGTCGACAACATTGACTTGTGCGGTATACTGAGCGCTGGTGCAGACAGAATTCCCCCAGCTCTACAAATTCGGGGGACTTGCTCTTGTTGATGATTTACACGAGTTGCTAATGGAACTTTGGGAGCAGGAAACTGTCCCGACAGTCTGGAGCCGCTCCGTGATAGTCCGAAGTTTCAAGGGAGGCTCCTGTTCAGAATGCGGCAACCATAGAGGGATCAGTCTGATTTCAATTGCCTCTACATTGCTTGCCTCTGTCATTCTCCATAAACTGACTGGCGCTGGTGAAGGCCAGGTTCGCGAAGAGCAAGCCGGGTTTCGTCGAGATCGAGGCTGCATCGACCACATCTTCACCTTGCGTCAATTGTTGGAGCACCGCCATGTTTATTGGCGACCCACCGTTGTCGTGTTTCTCGACATCAAATTTGCCTTTGATTCGGTTGATCGATGTGCCCTTTGGGACTGTCTGCTGAGAAAACGTGCGCCCGATAAATATGTAAACATTATCAAAGCGCTGTACGCGCATAGTTCGGGCAGAGTGAGGGTTTATGGCAAACTGTCGCCTCCCTTCAATATCTTCAGTCGTGTGAGACAAGGATGCCCGCTGTCACCTTTCCTCTTTAACTTCGCTATCGTTGAAGTCATTAAACAGCGTTCGCTGGACACGACCTAGAAGGTGTGGAGCTACTTCCTGGTGATCGACTTCTTGACTTGGAGTATGCGGATGACATTGCCCTCATATATGACAGCGCCCAAACGTGTCAGGCTGCACTGGACCGATTAGCACTAGCTGTTAATCGTTTTTAACTATGCTTTGCTCTATCGAAATGCAAAGTATTTCTCCAAGTTTGGCAGGGATCCACCCTGCGCTGACCCTTGGTGGTGATCAGCTAGAAGTCGTTCAGGAATTCAAGTATCTGAGCAGCTATATCAGCGCCCGTGAGATCGAAGCTGAGATTACGAATCGTATAGCAAAAGCTCGAGGTGCTTTTGCTAATCTCTGCCACCTGTGGCGCAGACGCGACATCACTCTCTCCCTGGAGGGTAGAGTGTATGATTCAGCCCTCCGTTTAACCCTCTTATACAGTTGTGAAACCTGGCCCATCAGGTAGACTGACATAACGTGGCTGGTCAAGTTCGATTATGGCGGCCTTCGCAACTCAGCTCATGTCTGGTGGGAGCATCACCTGAGCAATGAGCGTGTTCGGCGTCGCGCATTTGGTGCAGGAAGAGCGAGTGTACCGCTCAGCACCATTAGATCATGCATCAGGCTCTGTTGGCTGGGCCACATGTTGCGCATGCCAGCACATCGACTCCCGCGAAGTGCGTTGTTTGCGCATTGGGCATGCGGTTGGAAAAGGTGGAGGGGAGGCCAAGCGATGACTTGGTCGAGGATATGAAAACCCTCACTTCGATGTTGGCGTCGGTTGGTGCATCCCGACTACCAGGCTGGGGTCCTAGGGACGATGAACACGTTTGGTTGGATATGGCTAGGAGCCGGCCCCAATGGCTTTTGTGTTGTGCGTTCCTTTGTCCATCCCCCTCCCGCTTAGCCTCCCCCTCCAATCACGATCTCATTCGTTAGGCGTAATATAACTCTCTTTTTGCGGCACGATAGCTGGCTGTTAGCTCTCCGGAACGATGTCCATCCGTTACTGGGGACTCAGCCGGTGTACCTCTTATATTTTCCTTTTTTCTTGTCTTTCGTATTGCGGCACAATAACTGAGGTTTTTTCCACCTGCAGCTAACGTCTATAATGATGATGATGATGCGGTATACTGAGCAGTTTAACTGATCTGCAATGCCGACGATTCCAATGTACTCCCTAGTTGTGGTGGCTTCATCACTATCTAGCGGAACCTCCACCCTTGCAACGCCACAGTCCTTGTCCCAGTGAAATCCCTTCGGCTTTTTTCAAAGAAAGGGTCTTATCTCTCTTGTAGGAGTTAACTTCTGTCCTCCAGAATATTGGGATCTCGAAGTTAATCCCGTCAGATTGCAGCTTGGTGCTTGTCGTTGCCATTTTCACAAAAGTTATCAGAACATGGATTAGGCGCCTCTGTGTTGCATCCAAATTCCTCGACACCCTGTGTTTAACGAGGCCTTGGCTGGTGTGTGAACAGAACACGCGAAGGTAGCTGGGTTACACTCATCGCAACTGCATTGCTCATGTCTTCCCGACCCATAAGATATTTGGATGTCATGAAATGTTCTACTAGTCAACGATCGTTGTCTCCTTAGACAGACCGAGTTGCCCCCGGTAGTTGTCTATTGAGAAAGCAGTGCTCGCCTAACACATGTCAACAATCTTTGAGCCGTCTGTTCCCGGGCCAAGTGCGAGTGTATGAAAAAATTTCGACCGGGCCGATTTCGCTACTCTGACGCGGTTGTGACCTCAGCCTCACTGAAGCACTGAGTCTACAATGCAGCGATAACAGTGATCCTGCTGTGTGGCTGAGTTGGTGTAAAACATGTTCAGAAACTGTTTTTGGTCACCATCGCCTTTGGAGTATGGCTGATGTGCAGTGACAACTTCAAATTGTTACTTCAGCTCTACGTCGATAGAATTTTAAAGCTGAATCTGCTGTCCACTGAACTGTTTATCCTTACCGCACGCGCTTCGCATGGCGATTCAACGTTTACTCCGTGGTGGGCCTTCTGCGCGAAAACAAGCTGGTCCATAAATCATTTGAGTCCACAGTATTAGGACGCTAACTTCGAAGTTGGCTATGGTAGGACGCTGTCGACGACTAGGCTGTATCCGCAAGGATCACTAATATGCTTTAGCCGGAAACGGTCTCAAATATGGCAAGAACTCGCACTCAGTTGTAGATATGTGATACGTACTCACTTAATTACAGTTTCACAGATACTTGCGTCGTATTGTACTCATTCATAGATTGTGGAACTCTGTCAATTTTACTGCTATTGGCTGTGCTAAATATACAAATATCCATACATTTTACCTTATCGATATATGTATATACATATTGGATAAGCTATCCAATCACTGACGTGGTTTGTTCACGAGTGCGTTGTGTGTTTACCTTACTAAGCATCCCGGTTAATTTGCTCTCGGTTTTGAGCCACGTCATTAACTGGCCACCTCTTTCTCACACTGAAAAAGACGGTCGATTAGCGTCCGGAGGATGTGGCCTAATTGACATAAACTGTCTGACTTTTACAGACCTTACATTGAGGTATGAAAGAGTTTATTACACAACAACTAGCGAGTCTGAGTCTTACCAATCCGGCGTGGGCACTATATGTAATCAATACTCTACAAGCACCGGCGATCATTGACGAGTAATCTCGTGGTACCTCCCGTACTTAATGGGAATGGGTGTGTTCCGCACCCTATCCTTACTGATGGGCCGATATCTCTGTCTCAGCACGTTTGAAAATTCGCATGGCCTTTACTGATGCGCGAAATTAACGTTCTCAGCGATGCGCTCACCAGAGATAACCTAAATGTCAGAATAAGTGGACTGATCTACCAGTTTTAGTTTCCTTTCAGTGACAGTAAGTGTCCATTGCTTGTCCGACCAGCACTGCAACAGTATCTCGCACTTTAAGCATGCGAAGCGTATCCCAAAGTGAGCAGCACTACGGTTTGGCGTTTTCGGTGGGGTTTTCGGTCGTCTTTACATTCGAGTTTGTTAGTTGGTCACTCAGGAGAAATTCCATTCCACTGGAAGATGACAGGAGATCATCATTTATGATTATTTCAGCATAATGTTGAAGAGGAAATGGAATAGTGCAACCATAGCGCGAGACACAGGAGAAAACTTTCAACCGAATTCGGTAGTCACATTTTAAACTGAAATGGAATTGGGGTTCCTGAATGGAACTGATTTCTTGGCTTCCAGCGATGCTTCTTACCCCGTACAGATGTGCTCTCAATATCTAGTGGTCAATCTGAGCCGTGTACTAGCCAAACCGAAATACTCTACAAGAAACTTGATTGAAAATTGGTCGCGCTGTTTTATGCTTTACGGTGGATTTCCATTTGTCCTCAGATTGACACTTATTTCTTCCCCATTTGATTAACGGTTTTTATGGAATGCCACCTAATGCAATGTCGAAAGCGAAACATCGTTTAGCAAATATATGAACCGTTGCACCGCTTTTCAGCAGGATTATTTATCTGCTTTTTCTCCTTAACGGCAGCAATTTCTCTTAGATGTTTTGGTCAGTCCCATCGGCTCTTATGCACGCTTTGGCGATTTAACCCGTGGACATGTTATGGATCTGTACCTCACAGTCAAAGCAATTGCGCCCCCATTGATGTCACACTTTTCTGCTACGGGTCTCACCGTATCATTTCAAGATGGCGTGGATGCTGGCCAAAGCGTCCCTGTGAGTTATATGAGTCTCCACTTATTATCCTATTACCGCTTGTTTGCTTACAATTTACTTGATTAGTGTCACCGATCTTTGTCCATGCTAGACTTATGTAGGTAGACATTACTCACATGTTTGCTTTTCTTGGTTTACTGTCACCAACCCTATCTATCACTGACAAACGATTCGTACAACAGGCGTGACTAACGGAAGCAGATAGGTACGTTGTTGTCACAATTTTTACCTTTCTTGTTGGGGACACCGTTCGTATGTAATTCAATCAAGACTCATAGCATTCGATTTAAGTTAACAGTAAGATGACGGTCAGCCAATCTGCACAGCAGCGGGATGATACAACGTGCCATCTGTTTGCCTCTCGCCCAACCGGCTTCGTAGTTAGTTTCTCGCATTCCTCTGTCCACTCCCATTGGCTACTCCCATCATATTAGCTTCTTCGTGCGTTAACTTGCCATATTCGTTTTTGAGTTTGCATGGCCCTGTGATTGCGAACAGTCGTAGGATGCATGAGCCAACATGGGGATCATAGATGCCTTGCGCTGCGTCATCCAGATCCATTAATATCCTATAACCAGTGCGAACTAGAGGGCATGTGGACGCGAGCCACGATAGAATTGGGAGGAACACGCAAGCCAGACGTAAACAGGGCGGTAGTTGGACCGTAACTCGTCCCACGTTGCAAGGAACCACTCGTTGACCCTCGCACCTCTACCATACGGTTTGTGATCTTACCTAAAAATGACCATCATCTGCAAGCAGCTCTATACTTTCCATGTCGGGACCAGTGAACGTAGTTTCCATGAGTTCGTCGATGGCGAAGTTAAAAGGAAAAGGTGACAGCGGGCATCCCTATCTCACATAACTGGAGACATTAAAGGACGGCGACAGTCTGCCCGAACTACGCGCACAAAGCGCACTGTTAATAATTGAATGATTCTCAGGCCCGCCCCTCCTGTTCAAGCAGTACCAGGGTGTACATCAATCCATCAAGTCGAAAACGCTTTTGTTATCGAGGAACAGGATTAAGGTGGGTCGCCAGCATAAACTGCAGTGCTCCAGCAGTTGACCTAAAGTGAAGAGGCGATCAATGCAACCTTGATTTCGACGAAACCCGACTGGCTGTTCACGAATCTGGATTTGACGGGCCCAAATCAACCTGCGAAGGGCGACAAATACAAGTAACTTGGTGATGGAGATCAGACATATTTCTCTGAACGTGAACCTCTTTTGAAAATCGGAATAGTAGCGGAGCAGATCCAGCCGGTTGATGCACTTTCCTGTTCCCACAGTTGGAGTATGCTGACGATATTGTCCCCATCTGTGACAGTTTACAAACATGCTAAGCGGAACTGGACAGATTACGACTGGTTGTCAACCGTTTCCGGCTATGCTTTGCACCCTCGAAGTGCAAACCTTTTCGCCAAGATTGGCAAGGACCGCTTCATGCACTGACCCGTGGTGGGGATCAACTAGAAGTCGTTCAAAAGTTCAACTACATAGTCAGTTGTATCAACACCGTTGGGATTGACGACGAGGTCACTAACCGTATAGCAAAAGCACGAGGCGCTTTTGCTAACCGCCACCTATGGCGGCGGCGCAACATCACTCGCCCTGAAGGTTAGTGTGTACAATGCATCCGTACGTTCGACCCTATTGTACGGTTGTGAAACCTGGCCCTTTAGATCAGCGGACATAAAGAGGTTAGTTACGTTCGACCACCGGTGCCCTCGCTGTTTGGCTAATATTTGGTGAGAACACTGTGTGAACAATGTTTATGGTGTAGAAAGAGGAAGCGAAGCGCTCAGCACCGTTATTGCACGCGTCAGACTCGGATGGCTGAGATACGCGCTGCGCATGCCAGCATACCGACCCCCGCGACGTGTGTTGTTTGCGCGCTGTGTGTGCGGATGGAAGGAAAAGAGGGGTGGCCAAGTGATGACTTGGTCAAGAAGGGCGAAGGCCTTTACTTGAAGTTGCTCTCGGTTGGAGCCTCTTGGCTCCCTGGTTGGGACCAAAGTACGATGGACACGTTTGGTTGGATACACTTGTAGACATGGCTAAGAGCCGATCTCAATGGCATCTACGTTGTGATTTTCTTCGTCCCTCCCCCTCCAACCACGGCACAATAGCCGGCTGTTCGCTCTCCGGAACAGTGTCCATCCGTTACTGGTGACTCAGCCGGCGTCCCTATGTTGCGTGTTTTTTTTGTACTCGGCACAATACCTGAGGTGTTTTCCACCTGCAGCTAACGTGTATAAACAACAACAACAACAACAACAACAACAACAACAACAACAACAACAACAACAACAACAACAACAACAACAACAACAACAACAACAACAACAACAACAACAACAACAACAACAACAACAACAACAACAGTTTCACAAAGAGATCATGTAAACTCTCTACCAGAGCTCGTCCACCGGATTTAAAGAGGACTGAACAAAGACCACCTGGTCTTTCGGTATTGTTTAACTGCAGCAGTGCGATCTCTCGTTCGATTTGTGGGTGTGGGGGTGGATCCATCACAGAAACAGCCCATGGAGCAGGGCTATCACTGACCTTTAACGAATCTAATAGTTCCGACTGATTGAATTGCTTTTTAAATTGCACATCCCAACACTCCAAACATTTTCACAATTTATGCGCAATCTGCTTAGTTTCGTGGCATATATTTTTGCTAACACCAGGACTCCTGTTGCTCGTTTCGCGTGTCAGACGGAATAACCTCTGACAGTTATCAAGGTCGTTGGCTGTTGTCATCTCTAACGTTCGGTGAGCGCACCAGGCTTCGCGTGTATTTTTCAGGCTAGATCTTAGTTTTGTCCTGAGGTCTTTGCGAGTTTCATTGTGTTCGCTCTCAGCCGGAATGTGTTGGCGAGCACCCAGTAGTTCCAGAGATGGCTAGTAGTATCTCACAGACATTTGATCTTAGCTTTAATCGGCTCAGTCTGTCACTTCGTATTGTGGTTGTATGAGGGTGCTTGATAAGACTCGGGTTTCCGCGGTGCTTTTTATGGTTTTCTGGCTTCTATTGACTTTGGCTGCTGGAATGCTCAAACTGTCGGTAGATGGCAGTAGGTTATCTACTGCACTGGATTTTCTGCCCTTTGGGGGGTCCTTGAGACATTGTATTCCGTCTGTGACAGTACTATCGATTCCTTGATCACCATCTTTCCCAAATGCCTAGGGCCTATCCTAGCTGGTATGTTCAATGAATCCATATTACTTGGCTTACCGGTGTCAAGACTGGGGGTATCTTCTGTACCCTGCCGTCGCATTAGTGACTTCGTAATGTTTTCAGAAGTCATGGAGCTTGAGATCTCTGTCACATGATAACGGCAGTCGAGATCCACTTCGGTCTGCTTACTTTCCTCACTACGTGCGTTTTGCTTTCGGATTTTTACCCGACAGTTCCCTAACTACTTGACCTTTCCTTCCAGCGCTGCCATTAAAGTCCTCCGATGGACTTCTATAGGGGTGCCATTCAGGTTTAATCAGCAGGTCGTTAAACTCGATATGTTATTCTATGTAGGGATCGGTTCGCAGATTCTTCACTTGAGAATCGGAAGATAATCGGGCAGCAATTCTTTGGTGCTTTCTTTTTTAATCTCTGGCATTTGCAATCAACTTCAGTCATGTTGCAGACACTGTATTACAATTCTTACTTTACGCAAACTAGTTGTCTGGAATATTAAAAACCATCGCATTTCTCAATCTGAGGTTTCGTTCATACACCTCTGATACGACAGATGTGATTAATTGCCCCGCTTTCTCCACTCGAACTGGGCCGGGCCTTTCTGATGGGTTACTGAGGTATTCTAACGATGCCAAATGAAGAAGAAGAAGAAGAAGACATTCATCGCATTTAGATCTAGTCATTTGTGATGAATTTCTTCAGATCTTTAAGTGGTTCAAAGACTGCCACAATTTTTTCATCTCATTGGGTTGGGATTCTAAAGAGTTGACCTTATCAGTGAGTTCTGAAGTGAGACCAGCTTTTGAAGTAGGGCAGGCTTGTTGTTATTCTGGACTGTGAGTTTTTGTTAGTGTGGCGTAAGAAACTCTCTCTTTCACTTGTCGATTAAGCCTAGGCCTTGTTGGCGATACATGGTAACTTGGAGATGTCAACGTGATGAGGGAGTTACACGAGGGCAGATGTGAAGAAGAAAGGCACCTAGTTGGTCTCTTTACCACTTGACCTACGAGATAAATGTCAAGGGAACAGTAGACAAATGTATGATACGCGATGTAAACCAACCGGTTTCAATTCCACTCCGTTCGTTTGACAAGGATTTGTTGCGAATCCATGATCAATAGGTGAGGCCTGCTGGGTCCGACATGTTGCTTCGATCTATAGGACGGATGTAGCTACTTCACTACTCAGTCACACACACACACACAGCGCAGGATAGACAAGGGGTTGTGAAGGGTTATCAATCGAGTCTCGGCGACTGACAGGTTGCAGGCAATTGGTGGCGTGTTGGCGAGTGGTTTGCTCACGGAACTCAGTTGGAGCTACGGTGACAGTGGCAGCACCATATTATGAACTGGTAGCAGCCTTAAATGACTGTGAGTAGGGCTGAGTATTACGCAGTTGGAAAGCGCTCAGAATTATGTACAGAACGAGTCCACAAATAATCTAGTACATTTCACTGAAGATTTAGTTCAGCACACGAATTAGAGCACGGAAATCGCTAAAAGTACGATTTAGCAGCAGGTATTAATCCACGATGGTTAACTCCGAAAAGAGCTCGTCAGGTTGAGTTAATGAGCCAAACTTATCGAGCGTGCACCGAAATTCAGAAGCGATCAAAGTGAAAAGGGCGGAGAAACGCAAACGCACAGCGTATGACTTAAGTTACAGCTACTCTTTTCTGTACGCACGTAACGTGCAATCATCGGCAAAGAGCAGTATTCGGTTAGTCCTTTCGTTCACTCATGTCCTTACACGAAAACGATGAATGTTCAACAACCCGCTATCGATGCTCGTATTCACAAGCATTGAAAGCATTAGATCTCATGGTAGCTAGATAACTACTAAATAGAGCAGGAGCAAGACACAGTCTTGATTCACACTAGAGGCAACATCATAATCATCTAAGTTTGTCCACACAGTTGCACTCTCGCTCGCATACCACTGTGCAAGCATTTGGTACGACGAATGCTCTTATCTGGGCAATCAACCTTATCCAATATCAGACAAAGTGCTTCGCAGTTCACCGTGTTAAATACGTTGTTAAACCCAACGAACGACACATACAATGGCTGGCTTCCTTCACATCACACCTGCAACTGACCAGCCGCAAACACCATATCTGTCGTGTTGCGGCCCAAACGGAATCCGCACTGCTCCTCAGCCACGTTTGTTCCGAGGACCTGAGTGACGAGGTGGCCAAGCGGAATCTGAGTAATCATCTTCCCGGTGCAAATGAACCATTTGGTACCACAGTAATTGTATACACCCTCGTTGTTTCCTTCACTTGTGTGCGGTTGCACCACACAGGCATTTCATCTTAGCTCCACTCCAAAGACGTTTCACTAAGTGATCCAGTCCATGTAGCACTCTGAACCTTGGTGCTGATCACAATTTCTGACATGTTGCGGCACAGTAGTTGAGGGGTTTTCCACCTGCAGCTAACGTGTATATTGAATAAATGATTTCCGACATGTACTCTTGCAGGTCGCTTCTTTTTCCTCATCTTGCACTTAAAGTAATGATTTATCATGTGTATAAACTGGTGTTTTAGAATTTCCGCAAGTTGTTTTTAGGGTGAACGTGTAAAATTCAAGACTACGTATCAGCAAAATAGTGCCAGCGTTGATAGATTCACTGTGATGAGCACACCGTTTGTTTACACAGTATCGTCTACTAACGAATATAGATTATGGCACACAGCATGAGTGGGTTATGGCACTGTGAGACTTGTTGTGATTTTTTTACACAGCTGAAGCAGTAATTTTGTAGTAATAAGAAGCAATCCAATTTAATACACCCATAGATGAGCGTTTCGGTGACATTCCAGTGTAAAATGCTGTCTGACCAACAGTAGCTAATAGACCATCTTATCGGTATTGTGGACATGATTAGTGCATTTGACTTAAAACTCGATTGCGTCTCTTGAGGATCGACTACACCATGACAAGGTTATCTAGCAGACTTGCGCTCGTAGTTTTGTGCCTAGTCTGGTATGCGGGACACAGTGAGCTCTTACCATACTCGCGTGCTGTGATGGGATGTTTCGAAAGCCTGGGACCATGCTTTTATCACTGGCAATTCCTATGTAACATATTCCATGAGGCTATTGCCTTTCGAAAAGATGGAAGAGTGAAACCGCTTTAATGTGCCCCCCCCGCAAAGTGTTGATTGGCTTTCGTTCGTACTTTTTAATTTAACTTTACCAGCCTGGATCACTGCGAAGACATCTCTCTCAGTCTGGACTTGTGAGCTCTCTGCTGATCCATACTCAACACTTGCATCTGGGCTACATCTGTAACCATCCCACGTGTGTTTCTGTTACTATTTTCTCATGCCACATAACCATGTTTTCACAACGGTTACGCTCCGGAGCGAGCTGTAGACATAAATTATTGCGTTATTTCTGTCGTTTTTATTCCCCTGGCACTCGGAACATTCTTACATACATCCATCAGTCTGTGTGACTTGCACCATTCCGTAAACTGGATCTGTGATTAACGACCCTAGACATGAGCTGCTTTGTGTCACAAAAACTGGTGTTTCTGGGTCATACGTTTAATACAGTAAAACAAGCCAGAGAAAGTGGCAGCACTTTTGACTCACCCATTACGTATGGAAATAGATAGTCGGCCGGCTACCATCAATAGCGGCGTTTTCGGGCCGATGAGGTTCCTTTTCTCAGTATCTTATACAAACAAGGGCCACATCATCGTATCGGGCGCACGCATCAAGTACTCAGTGAATCTGAGTGGACAGACCATCATGCATGCTGTGTCCATGATCGACCGCGTCAGCTTCATCTTCAGTTTGATATCTGGTTCTTTCTACAGATCCATATGTTCACTCTGCGTACCTCCATCAAACTCCAGTTTGGCTTTAGAATAGTGGGAATCCATCTCTAGTTTAACCATCTGCGGCACAGTAGCGGAGGTGTCCCACCTATAGCTAACGTGTGTAGTGTGTGTGTGTGTGTGTGTGTGTGTGTGTGTGTGTGTGTGTGCATCTGTGTGCCATCACGAGGAAGCCAGCTTCTTATGGTGAAATTGGCTGTGCCCTTCATATATAGCTTGACTCGTGCATTAAACCTGATCTTTGCATATTCTTGGCCAACTATCGCTTTATTTTCCCCTTTATCAGCACGTCCATGTTCATGTCTTGCCTAGAAAACCCGGTGATTTCGCTCGCAATGATGATATCTACCAAGCGGTAAGTTAGCTGCTTTCCTTTCCCTCTTAGGGCTCATACTTAACCGCTTACGTTCTGTTGACCATGTCCTCCCTATACCCGTTGATCGGTTTGCTTGGCGGGCATTTTACGCAGTTACGGCTCAAAGTTGAGCGAAACCCTGAGGTGATCAGTCCATAACTTGACCTAAAGACACGAGGAAATTGAGTGAGAGACTTAGCCAAGCTGGTGTGTACTGTCTTGGTTGTTGGGGGCCCCGCGATAGTCCACACCAGTGCTAAGAGACCCTATCAGACATGGCGTTCCTGCATTCGGTTTCTTACATCTAGTTGTTAATTTTCATTCCTTTCCGATTAGTTTAACACCTTTCTTCCTTGATTTCATTTCATTTATTTTTTTGGATTCAAGCCTGTCTTACTATTGTTGTTTATTTACGCTAGGTCACCACTGCATTGTCAGCCTAGCAAATGTCTGGTGGGCATACTGCATGCTCGATAAGCGTGTTCGGTGTCTTGTATTTAGTACAGGAAGAGCGAGTGAACGGCTCAGCAGTGTTGTATCACGCACCAGGCTCCGATGCTTTGGTCACGTCTTGCGAATGCCAGCACACTGTCTCCCGCGACGTACATTGTTTGTGGGACCGAGGGATGGATGGAAGAAGAGGGGGGAGGTCCAACAATGATTTGGTTATGGTATTAATTCTTCAATCTTGGCGGCAGTTGGGGCCTCCCGGCTGCCGCGCCGAGTTTCCAAGCACGATGAACACCTTTGTTTGGGTACACTTGTTGACATGGCGAAGAGCCGATGTCAATAGCATTTGCATAATTTTCTTGATCCCTCCCCAAGATTTTCTTCCCCCTGCAACCACGATGTCACATCTGGTACATGGTATGATACTGAGCATCGTTTTGCGTTGTTTTAAAAACATGTATATATATATACATATTGTTTTTTACTGTTTTGTATCTCGCTTTTCATACATCTTTCTGTAATGTGGCACAATAGCCGAGGGGATTTTCGCCCTCATTTTACTTGAAATGTTAAAAATGTTCTATTCTGACAACGTGTGTCGAGTGTCCAACTCACTTCGGTGCCCGGATCATAGTCTTACTTTCTGTGCCCTAGCCGGTAATCGTTTCTAATGAAGCGCCCGTATTTATGCAGCATTTTGCACTCTAACATTTTCGATGGTGTGACTTGATGTTCTTGCTCAATCTGCTATTGGGCACCGTCCCTTATTCTGGGTGGTTGTTACGATCATGCTCAACTCGCTGATTTACTATGGTTACTAGATGGGTATATTTTGTATAACCAAAAGCGGTATGTTCCTTTTTGCGACCAATAATTCTCATACCCCTGTGTCCCAAAAGTAAGTGTACTTAATTTAAATTTATATAAAACTCACCCGAACTTACAACTTATCTTCTTCAAAGTCTGACCCTTGAGAAGATACGCAGTTGTTCCAGCGTTTCTCTACTGATCGTAGCAGCACTGAAGATTCTTTTCCGTAAGTGATAAGTACATTTGTTACAGTTTTTGATGTTTTCCACGATACCATGATAATGACCTTTCAACTTAGGGAAGACATAGAAATCGCATGGAGCTCGGTCCGGGCTGTAGGAAGGTTGTGGTAGTGTGGGGGTCAGGTCAAGTCAATGCGCTTTATGCACCGATGAAGAGTGAATATTCAGCTATAACACACACACTAAGGGTACAAAAAAACAAGGCTATCAAAAAAATCAATCAAATCAAACGTATATGGTGCGCCACCAGTTTAAAATGTGACAGTGGCGATATCATCGATTCAGTCTGGCAATAAGGTCTTGTTTGAGTACATCTTGATCCCTCACAAAACGTGACAAATAGGGAACAACTGACGTACTGTAACCCCGTGTGCGGGCATAAATGGCCGCAGACATCGAGATACATTCGGACAATGCACAATAGAGGGGGTGACTGACATCAGTGAGTATTTTGGATGGCGGTTTTTCGCAGGCGCAAACATGATTGGACATAATGATGTCAATAAACAGTAGCATAGAAATTCCAAGGCATCGAGCAAGATGCTCCAGCGACCTGTTGCTCACTTTGAATTGCCCGTTTAAGAGTCAGGGAAATATCACACATGAGCAATACATCCATTGCAGTATGACTCATGCAGTGACAAACCGTAGAATCAAGTAACCAGACACGAATGAAGACCTAAATCGGGAGACGCAGAACTTCAGTGTCCGGACTTTAGTGAATGTTTCATTCACGTGTTGTGACCACGTGAGATCCCGACTCAGCGTAACTCCGAGATATTTCGCTAATGTACAGGTGTTTGGACTGACACTCAGTATTTAGATGGGGTGTGTGCGTCAAAAGCTTTTGATAATAACCTTCCTTAGATGGCTAGAAAGTAACATCTTTACACTTTGATGCGTTGAGTGAAAGACAGCGGGATTTGGACCAGGAGGTGAGGTTGTCCAAGAAGCATTGCAAGTTGGCCGATGAATCTGTTGTGTGATTGTGTACACCAAGGATCACGTCATCAGCATACTTCAGTAGGATGGCTTCCTTTGGAGCGGGAATGGAGTTAATGTAGGTGGAAAATAGGAATGGGGACAAAATAGCTCCCCGAAAGAACACCTGAATTTGTGCTAAGTGAGGAAGAGCTTTTCTATCCAATCTTGGTAAACTGCGTGCGATTAGCAAACTAATCTGTAAGAAGATACTAATGAAGGTTGAACTCCGGAAATTAGTAGATCGTGTAACAGCAGCTGCCGCTGTACACAACCGTAAGCATTGCTGTAATCCAGGAACCAGATCCGCGTAGGTTTGCTTTTTCTATCGAGTGGTGAAAGCATGGAGTGTACAAGACAGGCTAATGCATCCAAAGTAGACGTTGAACTGCGATAGGCGAACTGAAATAGATCATTTGAGTGGGTTTGCACAATTATTCTTTCAAGTGTGATTCCTTCTAATCTCTTCAAAGCCACAGATGCACAAGCAATGGGCCGGTACTTACAGGTTCCTTTTTTGGCACAGTGGTAATGCGGACGCTTCGACAGCAGTTGGCTATCTTGTGCTGATGTAGGCACCTGGTTTAAAGATTAGAAAAAGGTTGTGTTAAACTATTAGCACATTTCTCTAGGACTATAGAAGATGGTGCGTCTGGACCAGGCGCTTTGCACGACTGTATCCGTGGTAATTCCTTGTAAAGTGTTACACTATGTATGGGTGGTGAAGTTAGTGGGGAGAGTTGCAACGGTAAAATTGGTAAATGCAATGCTGAATCAGTTATGTGACCACAGAAGTTGTGGTTTACATACTCCACGTCGAGAGCAGTGCGTGTGTAACACCTGACGGCTCCACTCAGGTTCTTCAACATTTTCCATATTTCTCGGCAATTATTCTTTCGAAGTATAGTTTGGACATAAATATGGTTGAGGCGGCACATTTCATTTTTTATGTCGGTCGATAAGGACTTTAATAAAGCGACATCTTTGCGCTTCTAAGCTTTTTCTTCGAATCTGCGCAGTCTTTTAAGGCACCGAAATGAAAACCTATTTGCACGAATGAAAATGACTTCCACTGTACAAAAAATATCGAATTAAAAGTTCAAGTAGCTGGTTAAATGAGCACAGTACTTCGATACATCAGTTGTAAAATATATTGAAGTCTGTAGAGGCAACAGTTTCGCGTAGTAGCTCAGTGTTTCGGGGAAGACATTGTCTTTGCGTTAACTTACGATCTTTGCAGCGAATAACATTTTTGTAATTCGTTTTGCCATAGATTATGGGAGATAACTTTGTGGCGTCATGATCTGAGCTTCCAAACGGTGCCTTGGTACAAACCGAAACAGCTTTTAAGTCCTTGACAAAATCTAAGCCTAGGCTTGCTTGTAACCTTGTTTCAGACTGTACGATGTTCTTCAGTCCATGATTGGTAATAAAATTAGTGTCGAATCTATTGAAATCACCGGCAAAGACACAAAGAAAAATCTAGATGTTCAATGACGGTAGCTGTAAAGTCGTCATAAGTGTTTAGCATCAGCTATAGGGCAGCTGGAAGAAATATAAATATTGGCTAATAGAATCGAGCGATAGCCACTCAAGTACCGAGACCTGCGTTTCACTATTAAACGGCTAATGCGCTGTGCGTAATGACTAAAAATAATTTTTGTCGACTTTAACCACGAAGTATGTTTTTCTTCGCCGAAAACTTGAAATGAAAGCGCTGTGTCAGCATGCGCGTTATCGTGGTGCAATACCCAATCATCTGTCATGTCCCTTCGGACTCGCTGGACCCGTTCTCATAGTCTTTCTAAGATACCGTTGTAGAAGACCCGATTAACTGTCTGTCCCGAAGGTGCAAATTCTTTGTGCACAACTCCACGGCTATTGAAAAACGACGATCATCGTTTTCGCTAACACATCTCGCACAGCTTCCACATTTTGATCGTTGGTTGACAGGATTGGCATTCCGGAACGAGGTTCGTCCGTAACATTTTCTCCATCCTCTGGGAAAGCTTTATGCCACTTAAAAACCATATTTCTCGATAGAGTGGCCCCTTGCGTTGAATTCGGAACAATGGAACAATGGTATATTACGGGCAACATGGTGGATGCTTAGCAAGTCCCGTAGGATGGCCAGAATGAGAACCACAATATGGTGAATAGAAAACTGATGAACAGAAAATCGTTTTGCTGGACACCCCAGTGTAAACACAGGCATGCAGAAAGAGTCAACCTCAGCTGTGTAGGTCAATTCTGTTTGTGCAATGTTCGTCACATTCTATCATCAATCGAGACACACAGGCTATATCTCATAGTGTACGTGGGTTAGGGCAACATGAAAGCGTTTTTTAAACACAGGTAAAGTGGGGACGGAAACAACGTGGTTTGGGAAGGCGTTCCATGGCTGGCACACACGAAAAGAATAAAAGTTCCGTCGACATTCTATCCGACTGTATTGTGTGGCTAACTTGAACTGGTGATCCCTCAAATTCGTGTTGTGGCTCAGTTGTAGCAGGTGACGCCGAACGTGGTTGGGGTTCCTTAGAATCTGGTAGGCTATAATGAGGTCGCCACGTAGGTGCCGGCCACTATAATTTTTGGGTCCTCAGTCCAAGTTGATAAGGAAGGTTTAACAACCCCTTGACGTGCTTCGTGGCTCGTCGATGTGAAGTCTCGAGCTCTTCAAAGTGTTGTTTGTGCCAGGGCTACCACACCTGGATCGCGTATTCCACCTAAGGCCGCATGTAGGTGTTAAGCAACTGAGAACAGACCGAGGGATCAAACCGCACAAATACCCTCCGCAGCATGCCAACGTGTTGGTTCCCGGTCTTTGACGCCTTCTGAGATTGTTCTGAGCAGCGCAGATCAGCCTGAACTAGTACCCCAAGATCGCACTCTTGGGTTACTGCTTGCAGGATAGGATCTCCAAGCTTGTATGTAATGTTCGGCTGTTGGCGAATATGAACTACCTTACATTTCCCCCAATTGAACTGGAGCAGATTGTTGAGTGACCACCTGTATGTTCTGTTCAAGTCCCGCTGAAGTACATCGTGATCTGCTGGGTCGGCGAGCATCCACCACATCTTAACCTCGTCAGATGTCTAGGTGGCAGACTTCTTAAGCATCACACAAAATTTGATAGCGTATCGTTGTTTATTTCGCTCCACCGCAAATTTAAAGGTTATTAACACACGATTCAAAACACATTGGTGAGTCAAGTGGTCAATGGAGAAATGCAATATTAGCCCTTTCTCTACCCCTAAACGTTCAGATACTTCATGTAGGCTTACTAAACATGTAAAGCTTTACATTAAGAGTTATCATCTGACCTTGCTCGTCAAAACACACCGGCAAATAGGGTGAAATATCACGCTTGGTTGTCGTGAGTCTGCTATTGTTTGTGTCATATTTGGTGCTATGGGCGTAGTGACTCATTGAGACCTACTTTTCGACATGATGCTGTATAGCCTTCTCACATTGACATTTGTTTCGTCTGTCTGTTTGTATGCTCCAGGTGCATACACGGAGTTCACACGAGTCAGGTGCCCAATCGTTTTATCTCCATCCTAGGGAGCGAACATCCCCGTGCGAACGAAGGTCCCTAGAGAATTGGTTGATCCAGTTTGTCTGTGTCTAACCAGATTAGTACTCCACCTTTCTTACTTCTCTGATTAGTGCCTTCCTCGCATGTGAATCTGCGGGTAACTGAGTTCAGACAGTTCTTTTGATCCTCAGTCCTAAATTGGTTTTTACCTTTTAATTATGAAGTGTGGTTCTGCATAACGCTAAATCTGACACCACTTGTCGTGTTCCGATATTCTCTCAAAAGCTCAAGTCCAGTGAGGATAAACTTTCTACACCTATGTCGGAGGATTTTACACGAGCACTGCCGATGTATTGCAACTTTGCATCAGTGGAAGGAATACAAAGTGACGAGGAAAACGAATTAAATGCATTGTCATCCTAACAAACGTCCTCTCAATTAATGCATCTTTACTTTCGATTCGAGTAACAAGCGAGACAAATAGGACAGGATCAAGATGCGATACGACGAGATACGAGAAAATGAAACCGAATTTTGTTCGCCTGGAAGAATTGGATACTCTGCTAGTCAGAGCATTGTGTAGGAGGTAATAGTGGTCGTTTAGAATGCTGGATGAGAACTTGAAGCATGCATCGAAATGTTCGCTAACGATAAAATCAGCGAGGGACCCTGTCTAATCCAGAGCGTGGGTGAACGCGTGTTAGTTAACACACAGGGAGATTGTAGTCCGAGGAAAAATACCGGGGTAACAGTATAACCCATGAGGAGAATACGTACCTTCACAATTCTCAGAATTTAGGCACGAGGTACTGAGTGTAGTTTGTGTCTAAGAGCGTAAAATGGTTATCTTCTGTGTTTCTGTGGTTTTAAGTGTGCGTGTCGATTATGATAGATCCTAAGACAAGAAAACAAAGGTACTTCACGGTGGATGTGAGAGAAATGCTTTGATTACTCGCGATCAAAGGAAAGGAGGTATTTACGAAGCAACGCAGTCTTCGGAGCGGATAAAAGAGAACATAGCATCACAATATACAGAGGGATTGAGAGAGAGAGAGGCCTAGAGTTTGACCAAGTCATGTTTGTCTAATCCTCGCTGGGTTTCAAAGGTTCCTAAATTACTAGGGCTATGTACCCTGGGACGACGTCATCAGCGTATGTACATGGGATGAAACTAGATGATATGGGCAGGCATTCAACATAGAAAACAAAATTTTAAAGAACGTCTCATTTCAAAACATGGCAGTGGGCTGGGATTACGGAAGACCTACCACAAAGCGGTGTGAAGTGTGTACTATTTATAAAGTAGGCGCGCACCACATTACATACATAGGTGGAATGCCATTTTCAAGCGGCCATCCAAATGGGCCAAAAGACCGTATACACAAAAATATGGGATTAGAATTTGAAGAGTAACTCCGGGCAAAGCGGATGCGCAAAGCATGCGTCCACATGGGGCTAACGATGCGCTTAGGGTGGGGTGCTTTTGGGAATCTCGCAGCGGAAGTGTTTCGGTGTTACTCCTCCTTTCGTAGTGTTTTTAATCCAAGTATCTGTCTTCAATCTTCCTCACTAGTCGTATTGCTCTTTTGATCGCTTCCAACTCGAACTTGTCTTTGCGAGAATTTTCCGTTTTTTTATTATTACGAACTGGCCTCTTTTGTGCTGGTTAATCGTAATGGTTCGTCCACTTTATATTCACAATCGTTCGTCGTTGCTTTTTTCTCCTTTTTAGTTACAACAGCATGACAAAGTACCCGATCGGGTTTGTCGTTCACTGGAAGCGATGGCATCGGAAGCCGCAGAATTTCGTTCACTTTATTACCACGGTTGACATCACCATCCCCTATTCCCACGAATTGTACACATCTGCAACCCTTCTTGCCGATCTCTTGTTTCTTCTTTTATTGACCTAAGTACGCATACCGCCACATCTGGCATTTGTTTCTCAACCCGATTGGCTCATCCGCGAACTATTTCAGTTCACATTTTCCTTATCCCAGTCTCTTTTAACGGGTTTTACTTTTCTGTCCTTTCCACCGTTACTCAAATGCACACCGGTGCCCCACTCACCTGGTGTCACCTCTCCGGTTCATTTGTTTGAACATTGCAGTCGTACTCTCACGGACAGTTTTACTTTTAGTACCGATTGTTAAGTCGTACAAGTACTGGACGTCATTTTGATCCATTACCAAACTTATCATCATGCAGATACGTGTCGGTATTTCGCACGTGTCTTAGACCAAGTTTTTCTTACCTTGTCATCATACCAGCTCACGTCACTCTGAACTTTACTCATGTTTTCTGAACAGGCAGCTTACCTAAATTATCTCCCTCATGTTGCATGTGATCGTGAGCTTGGAACCTGCATCCGTTCTTTGACATGGAAGAACGACAAACGTCCAAAGATAGCATCCTAGCTAACATCCATAACCACCTAGAACTTTTCTATCACCTTACAACACAACCACTCGCTTTTTTCTATCCTCCGGATATGGATAACTCCATTTGAAATCGGCTCTCATTGTAACATTTTGGATATCAGACTCATCAGGTAACGTTCTTTAGAACTATCTGAAATGCAGAAACGGTGGCTCAAAAATAAAACGTAACAACAGCACTAACCGTGTACTATGAACTCCCGATTCGATTCATAAACGACATATTAAGAACAACCGCTCTGTAGCCAGTTGCTTGGCTCTTCGCGTAATATCTGTCTAAGGCCAGAGTCGTTTACATTAACAAAACCTCAGTTAATGTGACCTTCCACTTAATAACAAAGTACACTGAGTCCGCATGATGTAGCCTCAGTCTTGGTTCTGTAAGAACATACTTTAGTGCACACAATCATGAGCGCGCTTTGCATTCCTTTGCTGAGAGCCGTGGTTTCCCCACAACCTTACCCTTGAACACCACGCAAGCTTTCTTCCTCTCGCGTTCAAGACAGCTTTTGAATACCCCCCCTCCCAGGCGTTTCCAAATCGTGCGGTGATCTCGTCGGTCATTTATCTATCAACCGAGTTAAGGGGTCTGACCAACCTCTGACTGGCTCCTGTGAGATGGTGATGGAAGCAGGTAACATGCTGATTCAACGCCGCAACATTGTCCTGCGCTTTGAGAGTAGGTTACGTGTACCTACGTGCAGCCTTCTTTGTCAGCCTACTTAGTAGTGTTTTCGTAGCTAGTGGGTCCCGTTATTTAGCCCTCCCATGGTCACATCATAGTCTGGGTAGCAGTCGAATGCGTTATTCATAAATCATAACATCATTCAAACATCACATGAGTTCAGAACGCCATTCCACTATGGTAGACCCTCATGGCTACTTACCATTGTTGCGTCCTAAATGTTTTGCTTGCGTTCATTGATCCACAGGAGCTGTTCAATCACGATGTTCGATTTAACCTATTCCTGTCTTGTCTAGTTCCACGTTCATCTTGGTTTATGCTGGGCGTTTTGCGTTATCTGCCCTTTATTCGTGCTATTCCGAAACAAACTACCTTTCCCCCTGCCCCGTATGATTGTGGTCGGTGTTTCATGCGCTTCCTGTCATTTGGATCTGCACTGGTTCCGCTCGCCAGTCACTATCACATTTTTCCTCAGTTGAGACGGCATTGTTCCGTGTCGTTTTCCTCTTCCTCTGCTCTTATCGCCTTGTGGTGATGCTGCTGGTTCGCATGTTTCGGAGTCCAAGTCTTTCCTCTGAGTTGCGCTCCATTCCGTCGAAATGTGTTATTCCTTCTCTGACTTCATTACTCCTCCTTACGGTCTTCAATTACTCTCCTCCAACGCGCGTCGGTGTTTGTTGCTCCCATACTTCACCTTCTATAGCTGATACTAGAAATGTCGGCCCGTAGCTTTAAGGATCGCCAGTTTGCATTGTAATCTGAGGGCGTAGGTTGGAGCCTGCGTAGGGACTCTCGCCGTATCCTCATACTGCGTGCAACTGATGGTGGTTGCGCGGCAGCGGAGCCTCGATACGACGTACCGCTGATGTCTGTTGATCAAAGTCGTCTCGTTCTGCATTACAGTACTTTTGTTGTAACATTCTATTTCTCACTCGGTATTTCAGAATAGTAGTCTGCATTATCTCGGACTGCAGTAGAATCCTGATTGTTGGCTGCAATGTTTGCGTTCTACATCCGAATTCACGGTAAACTGGAATTGTCCTCAAGTCGGCGGAAAGCATTTTTTTCTGTTCTAGGTGATTCGACGGAATAAAGTCGACCTCTCGTTGAACGCGCAGATTTTTATAATGTTGCAATCCGTTGTCTGAATTTGTCCTCAGGTCTCCCAGCAAGTTTCGTGATTATTACCAATGCGTTGCTGGCTGTGGTTACGGTGCACCTGACCGCTGTTTAAATCAGCTGGGATGGCTCGGCGACGGTTAATCAATTCCAAAGAGCGAGGGGAGATGTAAGCCCTCTGACTCCCTAGGGATTCCACAAATAATTCACCTGAAGTGATCGACGCTTTCTGCAAGAAACTTTAATGATATTCGACGTCCTGAGGTGCAGCACTAGCGAACGCATCTGATAATGAAGATAGATAGGCCAGTTGCGTGGAAAGGTTGGCTAGCCTATTGGTATCCAGTTTACGCTGCATTGGTTAAGATAAACCCTCGAAGCACATGCAGATGGCCGTAAAGATCACAGCGTGATCTGAGTCGTAGTGGGTGAATTATATCGACTTGCAATCCGATGCATTGTCCCGCCGTCTGAAGTTGATTGTGATGTGATCAATTTGTGACCACGCTTGTGTTGACGAAGGGGGACTCTAGGCGCGTCCTCTCTAATGCCAGCAGTTCGCGCCCGACAGAAAGAGGCAGGTGCCCTAAGGTAACGTAAGAATTTATCTCCGTTATCAGAGCGAATCTCTTTAGGGAAATGACGGGCACCAGGATGATGTTCGCTAGGCAGCAGATGACCGGCCCATGCATTGTAGTCTCCAGCAAGGACGACTACAAATGAATTCTCGGTTTTACTGAATAGCTTGTAAAGTTCGCGATAAAAGTCGTCCTTAACCTATGCACAACTGCATGTGGTTGGGTCGTATGCGAAAATCACAAGCAAATTGCATCTTTCCGCGATATATGGGCCTTGAAGCCGAATCGCACGCAGTTGACCCTTAATCGGGAACTAATCGACTTTGTCACCGAATGCGGTGCCAACATCAGCCAAACCATCTGTAACTGCTTTTGTATCACCAGACTGACATAATAAATATTGAGTTCCGAGACTAGCAGGGGACGTGAGCTTAATTCCGGAAGTGGAGCCTTGCAATCGAGTCACGGAATGGTAACAACACCTACAACGGCTAACTACGGTGCGCGGAGTCATGCAACTGCCCAATCTGCATGAGATTTATAACCTTGTGGTCTTTCAGCCGGAATGAAGATCGGGATCGAAGGAAGGCCACTTGTCGGAATCTGTTGGCATCGAAAGTATATTCAAAGAAACAAGAATTATGAACGAATGTAAGTTTAAATAACTAAATTTTCATTCTCGGCTACGCGAGGCGCGCCACTAAAGGCATGATCGTAGTAAAAGCATAACAATTGATCGAGAAATGTGTAATAGTATAACAGGATTTTCATATCTGTGGATCTATAAATGTCGGTATGTATGTAGGTGTGTTGCTGTTCCTTTGAATGAGTTCGATCGCGTCACCAGTGTCTAAAGGAATGTTTGACGTCTGTGGAGTGGATAAGACTGTTCGAGTAAGCAAGGGCAGTGACTTTATTTAGTGGCGAGTCACATCCGCCACGTCACAGTGTTGTTAAGCAGACATTTGTGGCTTTTTATAGGGTGAACGCTTGCCAGGAGAAAACCCACCATGTCCTGGAACACTGCCGCCGAACAATTTGCTAGAACGGGTTAAACCTGAACCACCCAGTTTACACCACGGGGAGGTTGTTCGGTGCGATGGAGGTGCGTGAGTAGTGCGGAAGGCAGGGGCAGAAGAGTTCGACGTAGTAGTGTCGAAAACGCGACGCAGTGCAGACTAGTTACATGTTGAAGAACCCATGTCTAAATATTATAACAGTTCGAACATAGAAACTCCGCCTATTTGCCCACTTTCTTCGTGGTACCTTTCTCACCCTCCGTTCCGCTGCGCTCCTTCAATCAGGTTGTGAAGTCTCTCCTAAACATCCGCGTAACGCGCATGCTCCTGTGTCATGTGGATTATTATTCTCTATCCTCTCCATTTTCTTGCAGAGTAGTCACTGTACGTTCATTCGAACCGGATTCACCAGTGATCCATCATACGTGGAAATATCCTTGCCATCACTAACTGTTTTCACTGTCATCCTTGATTAGGCGCAAGTGGATAACTCAGTCACATTGAGCCTATTTCCCTTCTGTGTAACATCGTTAGATACAGAATTCTCGAGGCAGTCCGAAAAGCCTAAGCTTATTCCTATCCGGCGTTTCTCAACACAGCTGTGAAGGGATTTATGAGTTCTCAATCTGTGTTCAGCGCTTTTCAGATTCAGTTAACAGGTTCCAGTCACTCGCCATTCCTTTTGACGTTGTCAGCCAATACGCCGACATAACCCATCACACGGACCGCGCGACCATGCCGATCGATCATTCTACCTTGCAACCACAACCATCACCTAACCGATATGCGCCGCTATCAAAGCTGGAAAAGTACAGAATGTCAACCGACACACTGGCTTAGATAACGACACCACGTCGAATGGTAGACGTGCGAATTCGAAAAGGCATCTGAAGGTTAGGAGAATGTCATCGATCAGTTAAAATAGGTTTGACTTGCTCGCATTGTTTGGAATGGTATAATCCGAAATGTGCAAACATGTTCCAAACACAGGTTCAAGAGCGAACTGGCTCCCAAGATGCGCTTTGGTTCTGTGCTGCGTGCTCGACCATCCCACTCTTTAAGTGTATGCTTATCCTAGTCCAGAAGTGCGACTGTTTAACCGCAGAAGCCGAGCAGCGAATGAACGATAAGATTACTTCAGTGGAGGCGAGTATGCAACAAGGAAGCGTAGTGGCATCTAAGCAACGGAATGCTGCACAATCTGCTTCCCCTGAACCGTAATCAGCCATGTCCCCATCTCCGTTGTCTTCTCCAAGTTTGTTAGAACGCCGGGCGAAAACTGACCGTACCTACGAGAGTCAAACAGTATTCATGGCAACAAAAATCAGGCACCACTATTTGAAACGTCTGGTCAAGCAAATTCCACTAGCCGCGACATCTATCATTAACATGGATGAAGCAGCCGAACACCCACCCTCGGTACCT